GAGATGAGATAGAGACCATTTTCTCAAATCTGCATCTAGTGGGCTATACCCTTTTATTTGTGTGTGAAGTAATGTAATTTAGGCTGCACCTATACTTTGGGGGCCCAAAGGTTTTCCCATCATCTACCATACAGTACAGTGAGTGCTTAAAAAAAAATATTGTTTCTTGGAAGCCCATCTTGAAATTGTGTGTGTGTGTGTGTGTGTGTGTGTGTGTAACAACCTCTCAGTGCTCCCCCCTTTTTACAGCTTTTTGAAAACCAATTCAAGAAATCAAATAAAATACTGCATCACATTACAAAAGGTCATTTAAGATTTTCATTTTTGACTCAGTTCAGTTTTGCCAGGCTACTGCTTGTTGGAAATCTGTAGCTTGTCCTCAACCCAATTTCTTATGGATGGCAAGGAGGAGGGGATGGGAATTGGAGCAAAAGACAGGAAAAGTGGTGGCAGGACAGAGAGGAAAAACAAGGGGCCTCCAGCCTACTTTGGGGTCAAGGCCTGAGCATTTGGGCTATGACCATAGCTGTCAACTTTCCCCCCCTTTTAAAGGGAAATTCCCTTATTCCGAATAGGATTCCTCACAAGAAAAGGGAAAAGTTGACAGCTATGGCTATGACTCCACACACAACTAGTCTAGGACTCACCCACTGTTGACATGTGGACTTTGACAAGAAAAAGTTATCTTACCCCCACTGCCGCAGCAGTGTACAAGCTCCTGCTGTGCTAAATACATTCTCTCATCCCATTTTTTAAAGTTTCTAAAATTGTTACTTATATTTTACAGGTGATACAGAACATTCTGGAAATTGCCATTCTCCCAGCCCCCTCTCCCTCTGATGCCAATTTTTATCAACAAGTTTCTGTTTACCAAATAATAGCTCTCTAGTTTTCATAATTGTTTCTGTTCATTCGGAACACTTTCTTATTTGGGTAAACACAGGGACCCGATATAATTGTCCCCCTGGATAATGTTAATCAAAGATGGCGCATCTCGTTGGTGATTGGATGGTCCGTAGCAAAAATTATGCATCTTAAAGTTTGGGGGAGGGGCAAATTCGCCCTGTCATTACTGTCATTTGGGTTCAAATACACTTGACATTTAATTGACTGGTTTTTGGCCATGTTAAAGAATGGTGATGCTAAGGTTATGTTAGCATTGGACTGTTTGTTTTAGAATTATTGTTACATTTCACCATGAAGAGCTATGTCAATGTTTACATAAGAAAAGTGGTTCTTAGTCACCATACTTATTTGGAAATAGATGATAAAAAAATCAATGAAACAGATGCTCAAGTAAATGTATTTAGGATCAGGATGCAAGTGATTACAGTAATTTCCTGTCATTCACCTTGCAACCTTATAGCATTTTCAGATGTTATATAATTTATTTTTGAAACCTGATATAAGGTGATTGAGAGGTCTTAAATGTTGACCTGAAATCTCCTTGAATGTTTGTTCTTGTGAACAATGCGAATGAAACACAAATGAAGGAGGAAGCCCCCCCCCTTTAATAATTTTAAACATAGCTAAATGAGTCATTTGGAATTCAGACAATAAACTGTAATGTTGAACTAAAAGCACACACACTGCATTTCAGCCTGAATCTAATTTTAATAACCAACCGGATGATCTTTTCAAAAACAAAAAATGAAAGAAAGAGGGGAGAGGTGGAGTATGTTGAAAATTATTCTGAACTTTCAATATAGAGATAATTTAGCAAGGCTCACAGTTGTAACGGGGTGATGTTGCTGCACCCACTTGTAAGATAAACATCAGGAAACTGTGAAATATGTGCTAAAAACTGAATTTGAAAGAAAGCATTTGTTAGTAGAAGGAGCTGCACTTCGTAATGCTTTCTGCCCTTTTGCAGTTGCAATTAATTACTGAGTTCATTAATTAATGAACATATTAGAGAAAGACACCATTACTGACTAGGGGAGATCTGATATATTACTGAGTCAATAAAGTATTGAACACAGAGAGACCTTTTGGTAGAACCCTCCCTGCTTCGTCTGGTCACTCGCAATCACATATATTATTCTTGCCTACTCAGCAATTTCGTGGGTGCCCTTATATTTCATATTTCTAATTCCTTTAATTACCGTTAGGTACAACGATGTTTTACAACCTTGCTAATGAACAGTTGGTTGGTTGACGTTGGTTGATAAACTCTTAACTGTCAGGTGCAATGCAACAAACTCACCCCACCACCGCCGTCCCCCCCCTGCTTGCGCTTGCATCCAACAATACTTTTTAGAGTCTGATATGAAGCAGCAGCTGAAGAGAGAAAAACAAAAGGAATGTAGAAAATATACCTTTGTCGGAAATCATGTAAGGAAAAAGCAGTCAGATTTTAATCGGAGAACAACTGAAAAAAATTAATCAAACATGATCTATGCATTTGCAAATGCACTTACCGTATTGTTTCTCCATAAGACGCACCTAGTTTTTAGAGGGGGAATGCAAGAAAAAAAATATTATTTAAAGGGAGTGCTGAGCAGAGCCTGTATGCATCCCAGGCTTTGCTCAGCGATTCCTTTCATGAGCCGTGCGGGGCGTATGTGCGGCGCTTGCAGACTTTTCCCCAAGGAGGGAGAAGGGCAACCCATCACTGACGGGCTGCCCTTCTCCCTCCTCGGGGAAAAGCCCCCACGTTCCGCACGGCTCCTTAAAGGGAGCGCGGCTCCTGCAGGCTTTTCCGGGAGGTGGGGGAAAGGACTGAGGGGCTGCCCTCTGTCCCTTCCCCCACCTCCAGCAAGAGCCACACAAAGGCTTCCCGTGCCCTGAAGAGGCTTTGCGCGGCTAAGCCAGAAGCTAGAACAGCAAGAGGGAGCGCTGCGCAGCGATCCCTCTCACTGTTCTGGCTTCTGGGATAGCCGTGCAGCCTGCATTTGCACCATATGACGCACGCACATTTCCCCTTACTTTTTAGGAGGGAAAAGGTGTGTCTTATAGAGCAAAAAATACGCTACTTGCTCATAGGGATGCCACATTTATTTGAATGGGGCTGGTAATATCATGCAAGGACGTGAGCTGTGAGATATGTGGGGCACTATGCATGTACAAGAGGGATTTACTTACTGCCTGTCCCCACTGCCTGTCTCTGCTACCCAAATGCTGCTCTTGAACTCCTGTGGACTAAATGGAGTGGGCTTAGCTGTGTCAGAGGGTTGCAGTTTTGCAAAGCCAACATTATGCAACAGGCCAGCAAAACTTCTCCTGGCCTATAACTTTAATTAATAAACGGTGTGATGCAAACTATCTATACTTGGAGGTAGATCTCTCCCAAGTGCAGTGGGATGCCTGAGTGAGTAGGTGTATATATAAAAGATTGCAGCTAAAGCCACTATTTCAAGACAATGGTGGTTATTTCCTATAATGTGGCGATTTGCATTTCCATAAATCAGTTGCTGCTGCATTCGGGGAATTCTGATGTTCTTGCAAGTGCAGGTACCAAACCTCCTTCCTCTGACCCTAAAGTAATCACTGGTTGCATCTAAATTGGTAGAGTGATCATTTCCTGGCATTTCCAGTAGTTACAGTACATTGTTAATGTGTGAATGATGAATATAATACCCTCCATTTCAAAAATATGTGTGCAAATTAAGCTTAAATGCATGCCATAAATTTACTACTAGTAGTTTAGGGAGCACAGGTCATCTATAGAACTATTAAAAAACTGAGGTCTTGGCCTAAAAAGAGAGCGTCTTGGTCATTATTTATGTATTTGCTTTATAGTTTAAAGAAATTATCCATCTTTCCCTTCCAAAGTAATATTTCTTTTCATACCGTATGTGTTTCAATCTTACCTACTTATATTTCATTTTCAGATGGTGGGGGACATGTTTCTAAAGGGCACATCAAATTGTCAAAAGTTGAACAGTTGTGCCTTGTACAAGTGATGCAGCAAATGAAATTTGCTGTATGGTTCCTGAATCAATTCTCTTCTCTATCTCCATCATTGTATTGCTGCTTAGGGAACACATGGAGCCAGTGGCCATTCTGATGCTTAACTGAATTAAATATTTCACAAGTTTCCAAAAAAGAAACTTGAGAACTTTCTTCTTCTTCAATGGAGTGGAGAGACCTTTGCTCCGTATTTATGTATATTTCAGTATGTACTTCATTCTTAGTTACAACAAAAATGACATGTTACAGCATTAAGAGATAACTACCTTTAAAAAACCCCCATCCTTCGGGCATTTGGAAAGCTGAAATTTGTACAACACGCACATTGTCTTCTACACTTATAAACCAAATGGGGACTTCGGTCTACATTATTTAAGTGTGTTTATTCATTTTCAGGATGGTGATGGCTTAATGCATCCTGTAATTGGAATTGTTCTGTGACAACAAAAAAGTTATTGTTTATGACAGCCCCCTTCCCCTGAGATGAAAATAGAGCACGCCATTTCATGTCAATTTTTGTTTTACATTTTGTTATATGTGCAGTAGGGAAATGAAAATGACAAATATTCTGAAAGCATATATTTAAAGATTATTTTTTTAAAAAACCCAAACCAAACCAATGCTGCATATTTCTCTGATAATAGCCAAGATTCCAAATAGTGCTCTGAATATGTGTTGAGATCTGATACAGTGCAGAATGGCGAACCTGTGGCTCCCCAGACATTGTTATCTCTGACCATTGGCCATGCTAGGGCTCGTGATGGTTAGAGTCAAAACAACACCTGCAGGTTCCAGAGCCCTGGTGTAGTGGCTAAGAAGGTTAACTATTTTGAACCTGGAAGTTCAAATCTCATCTGAATATTGAATTTTGCCAAATCGTCTGCTGTTATTCTTTTAAGCTTCTACCAGGCAATATAGGATGACAGTTCTGACCTCCCTCCCTATAGGGTCTGATGTAAGCAGTACATGTTAAGATAATGCACATGAAGGCCCTTAGACATCCAGCGAGTTATAAAAATTCTACTTCTTATGTGATTATTCATCTAGTAAGATGTTTACAGAAGTTGGTTTTCCTTTTCTCCTTCCAGGCCATACGCTGCACACTGGTAAATTGCACGTGTGAATGTTTCCAACCAGGGAAGATAAACTTGAGAACCTGCGATCAGTGTAAACATGGATGGGTGGCACATGGTAAGAACTACTTTCCTTTCTGTTTCTCCTTGTCATTGTTTACCTCAATGTGTGCATATAAAATATCAATTGCTTAATTACTTTTACATATTGACACCTACATACCCGTTGTAAGTTTATCTGACATCAGAAGAAGTGCGCTATGGCATATGCATGCTTGCTTTGTGCTCTGTAGACAACAGAACAGTGGACGTTCCTGCTGTTCCAACACATGGCATTGAATGACAGGGGAAGAAATGAGTACTGTGCAGCGTGCATTCAAAATAGCATATACTAGCCTATTTCGGTTCTCACAATTGAGTAGGTCAACAAAATATTTAGATCTAGGGCGAGACCGACACATTTTGGTACCTGAGGCAGAATCTTTCCATGTCTTTCGCCACAATATTGTTTAGACTCAAAACAACTCAAAGCTGAAGCTGGGTCAAAGCAGACTGTTGAAATTTGCTACTGAGGTTGCACTAAGAGATAAGTTGTGCATAGGATAGCAGTTGTGTCAAGCTAATGGTTCCAGCTGCCTTGAAAGAGGAAGTGGTGGTGTGGCTGTTGCTATGGAAACCTGCCTTGCACCCTGAAGGTCTTAATAACCATTCGCCAGTTGCTCACATTCCTTTCCTGGGCATGGTATTTAAGCGTGTGGTTGCCATGCAACCCCAGGCAATCTTAATGAGATGAGTTTTCCAGATCCTTGTCAGTCATGCTTCAGGGCTGTTTCTGGCACTGATGGATGACTTTTGCCCTTTCTTGTGATGAGGCAGAGCAATGCTTTTAAAATCATTTCCATGTGGGTAGTCCTCAGTATGAGTACTGGAAGCAAGCTGAAAGCTGCATGCGTTAAATATATATTTTATTGGCTGGAGCTAGACTAAGCTAGTTGAACTTTGCTCCCATTGACGTCATGGTTAACTTATCCTACTGATTTCAGCAGAACCTAAATTATTCTGAACTTAAATTCTGGAACATGGAGTTGGATCTAGAATAAGTTAATGGATCCAACTCATGTTCCTGCCTCTTGGCAAAGACTTGGCCTTAATCTGAATTTATAGCAAGTGCAGTCCATGCCAGCTCCCCATTGTTCCATTGGGGGGGGGATATTAATTTAAACCACCCTGCCTTAGATTATCTCATGGTAGGACCATATTTGTTTATACTACAGTTGTGCTTGGAGCTCACATTGCACATAAGAAGCAACCAGTACGCCAGAGTTTGGTGGAAATTCAAACATACCAGAGTCTGTCTTTCAGAGCCTGGATAGCAAAAAGAAGGTGGTATATTCTGAACTGGTTGAGTGAAAATCTTGATGGTGGTTCACCCTCATAAGTTGTGGCACAATGACCTAGATAATCTATAATTCAGGGCATGAGCTGGAAGGTATGTTTTGCTTTACTCTTTACACAGCTCTAACTTGTGGGGGTGGGTAGGGGGTAGGATCCCCCACCACAGCACCCCTATTAGTCAGAAATCCACCTGGCAAATAACATTCCTGGCAACGTTACTTTCACTATCCAGCCTGTATTCTTGTGTACTTCACTCATAGTGATTCTTGTACCCCACCTTAGCTGAATCATCAAATATATTTTTAAAGTCTGGTTTTAAGGATAGGGTGGAGGAAGAAAAGTCCTACTGATTTCATTGGAAGAGCGGTTGAGTGCATATCCTTTATCTATTTTGTTTATCATCTCCGTCACTTTCAAAAGGTTACAATCCTCTAGGATCTCAGGGTGCTGTACACGGGGTGTTGCAAACTTTGTTTATTTGATATCTTACCCACCCTTCACCATGAGGTCCCAGGATAGGATTACAGCATTTTTAAAATACATTGTTAGAATCAGTCAAGTCAAACCACAGTCAAGAGAATAGGGTGGGTCCATCTACATATATGGTGTCCTGTGCAAAATATGAGCAAGCCAGGGCTGAACTGATATTACCCTTGCTGGTACCTTTCCCGGGAAAATCAGAGGCTCATTATGTCTGGTTCCTATTGGAAGACCGGACAAACGCTAGAACATTAGCAGTGGCAAAATTTTTATCGGTGGTTGCAAGAACCAATGATCCCTATATTCTGAACACAATGCTTGTTTAACCTGGAGGCAATTTGTATGAATTGTGTACTGCTTTGTAATGATTTGTTGGGTCTCTGGACCGTAATAAAGTTTGATGATGATACTTATATGGTGTCAAAGGCAGGGTTAAGTGTGTCCTCAGGTTAGGGGCTGCCACAGAGAATGCCATCTCCCAGGCTGCCACCCCCTGATTTTTATAGACCAGTGGTACTGCTAAGAGGGCCCCCTCTGCTGATCTTAGTACCTGAGAGGTTCCAAAGGGAGGGAGATGGTCTTTCAGATATTTGGGGCCTAAGTAATTTAGGGCTTTAAACACACCTTTGGGTCTGGAAACCAACACAGCTGTATTAAACAAGAGTTATGTGAGTTTTAAATGGAACCCCAACTTTAGATCACATTCTCCTCCTCCTCCTCCTTCATCTTCTTCTTTGTATGCCTCCCTTCACCTGTAACTCATTTAGGCAGAGTAAATGTGATCTGGCCAGCCCAGAAGCTGAACAGGTATTTCAAACCTGCAGTTCCCTAGTCCAAAAGATCACCAACATCCCCTTGCTCTCCCCTGGAAATCAGTGGGACTTACATTTGTATGAATCATGCCCACTATGCCATGAGTTTATGTTATTCTCTCTTGCGAGGCCCAAGCACTACATGGCACTGGTCTTGCCTCACTTGTATATAAAGTTTGTTGCAAAACCATGGTCTTCAGTGCTGTCAGAGTAAGACTGGTTGGCAAATTTTACGTGCTTGCTTGTTATTAATTTGAAGGACCCTTTGTGAGAGGAAGGAAAGGAGAGATCTCACAGGGTTAGAGGCTGTGAGAAGAGAGGGAGGCTCCCAGGCAAGTTAGGAAGGCTCATCTTTTTTCCCTGTATGACACTTGTAATGTGAAATGAATTTTGGTAACTACGATTATATAATAGATGGATAATGGGAAAAGATGCAGAAAAGATTATTATTATTATTTGGAAATGGAACCCATGAAGGGAGGGGAGGATGTCCAAAGTTTCGAAATAACCTTTTTATTTTCATGTTTTGGAGTAGTTAAAGTTACTATGTATAAATTAATGTAAAACCAATATAAAAAAAATCTTATTAAAAAAAAAGTTAAGATACAGCTTTGAGAGAGTATTTTGTATTTTTAATTCTGTTTTCCATTCTTTTAGTTTTTCCCTTTTTATAGTTCTTCGAAGATTAGTTCGTCTTTTATTGTACCATGATTATTATTTTTTTAAAAACCCCAATTATGTTCACCAGCAATAGCTGGTCATATCTCATTGCTGATAAAAAAAAAAGAGCTTAGTCAGATATTTTTAAAGTCCAAAATGTGCGAAATTTGAAAGCCGCACAACCACTGGTTTTAGGGACAGCAAATGCACACCTCTGGGATTCTGTGTCTTCCATCTTTGGAGAACTCCATGATAACTTCTAGCAGCTATGGAATCTGTTAAGGGATGTTCACTATTTTGCGTGTGGTAGTCAGGGTGTTTGTGGAAAGTTAAAAGGGGGGGGAATCTGCCCTTTTGACCTTTTTCCCTTTCCAAAAAAATAAAATAAATGTAAACACTTGTGTCAAAATACTAGAACACAAAGAATAGGGTAGAATAAAATAACATATCATGTTTTGGTCCTGCGGAGGAGCCCACGGAATAAGACCACAAGGTAGGACAGAAGCTGCATCACCACAGACAGCTCCTGCACACACAGTCTATGAAGGTCCAATATGTTTTTTAGCATTTTTAAAGCCTATGCTTCCACACAAACCTCTCCCAGACTCTGTTTCTAATGGGGGGGGGGGCCTGCCCTCACTCCATAGCCTTCTGCCTTGCACACTGCCTTGCATCGTTGGATGGCTGAGAGGGCTGTGGGTGGCCTTTAATCCCTCAGGCTTAGGAGATTGTGCTTGTGAAGGTCCTGGCTGAAGCCTTGGTGATATGGGAGGTTGTTCCTTGGCCTGGTCCATGTGGTTTTCAAAATAATAATAATAATAATAACAACAACAACTTATTTATACCCCGCCCATCTGGCTGACATGAGGCAAGTCCTCATGCTGGTACAGTTGCAGCTGCTGGCAGGATGATGAGGAAAGCAAAAAAGGATTACTTTATACAGAGATAAATGTTGCATAAAGTGATGTACACACAATATCTGAGAAAGAAGGAGACTCAGATTGAGATCTATCTATCTATCTATCTATATCTATCTATCTATCATCTATCTATCATCTATCTATCATCATCTCCTTTATTAGCATAGAAAAAGTGCATCATATACATGGATAAGAACACAACACAGTTAACGAAACATAGTAGGAGATCCTTTAGGATAAAACTGTCCAGACATCGTGAGGTACAAAGATGGCTCTTAGGACCCATGGTGACGTAATTTCATAGCGTCACTCAATTTCCCCCCACAATTTCATCCCTACAGTTGTTCAGCAGTCGAGACACCCTGGAAGATAAATCTCTTCCTTCAATAAGGTGGCCAAATACTTATCACATATTTTTGCATAAAATGGGAAATAAAAATAAAACGGGTGTGATGAATTCTACCTCTTTTGGTACTACAAAGGCAGCGTCTTTCAGAGGATGGGATTTTCGGGACTCTACCTTGCAAAACGGCAGACGGTGAGACGTTAAATCTTGCTAGGGAAAGAGCTCTGTGTAGGTGGGGTTCGTAAAGCTGGTGTAAATATAGAATGGCCTGGCCCAACGAGGGTGGAATTCCAAACCCCAATGGGGAACAGGTTTTGTTGGCTTCACTGCAAAGGATTGGGAATTCAGTCTCTAGGATTCTGCGCTTGATTGTCTGGAATGCTTCCAATTGTGGGAGCATAAGCAGCGATTCGAGTGATAGGCCACAGGTTCTGATTTTGCTCTCAATGCAAGCTAGCCTTTCAGAATGGTGGGATTCTGCCAGTATGTGGAAAGTTAAAGAGGA